CCTGGGCTGGGAATTACTAAACCCTCTAGTCATTTACCATGGAGCAAGTTGGACAGCTTTGTGTATTGGAAGGCAGTGGTGATGGGGAAGCGCTAGGGAAAGGTGGGAGAGGTTGATGGTGAATTGCATTATGCTTTGGCAACAAATGCAATTTTAGGGTACTTAGATACTTTCTGCTTGATGTACTTTTTTTTTAAATTTTTTTAAATTTTTTATTTATGCATGTATGTATGTGTGTGTGTGTGTGTGTGTGTGTGGCCAGCTCAGCTCAGCCCACCAGGGGGCGGGGGCTGGCTGGCATGTGGTGCTGGGGGATTGAACTGCAGTCCCTGTGCTTTAGTTAAGCTTGTTTTAAATAGGTGCTTTAGACCACTGAGCCATCTCACCAGCCCCTTGATGTACTTTAAAAATAATCCATTTTCTATGTTTGGTATAATCTGGAAGTGTGCATGAAAAAATAAATTTTAAAATCAAGTTTCCCAGAGCAACAGACTCTAAAGTTGTCTAGTGTAACATCAGCGGTGAAATGCTGCCACTTGAAGTGGCAGGGGGAACGGGACATCTCAGCAAGATGATAATGCACAGTTGTTAGGACAGGTCACGGACGAATGGCTGCCAGCAGCGGGATAGCCACCCCTGCCCTCTTTTCTAGCACGGTGGCTGCATAAGCTCTACAGTCCCACATGTTGAAGGGCCCAGTGCTCCGTGAATGATCTAGTGCCACCTTCAGATCCATAATGACCTTTGCGCAAGCGCCTCGTGTTTGTTTCCATTTTGCAGAGGTTTCTGAGAAGCCACTGTCTTAGTTGCTTTCCCATTGCTGGGACCAAACACCCCGTGCCTACCACTTATAGGAAGAGAAGTTTACTAGGCCATTTCCAGGGCTTCAGTCTGTGGTTGGCTGACTCCAAGATAGAAACAGTATGGGTGGGCCTGGAGGAAGCCAACAGCTCAACCCATGGCATCCAGGAAGCAGAGGGCGAAGGGAGGATCAGGGAAAAGAATACAGCTTTCCAGCTAAGGCCCGCGTTGCTGGCCTCCAACCTGACCCCACCTTCTGCAGCACATTCAGCTACTGAGCTCAGCCAATGAACCCACCAGTGAGTACACGATTCCTAGAGCTGATCACCAGCTGATGAGACTTGGGGGGGGAGGTACATTTTAGCTCTAAACTCTCATAGTAATTGATTCTCTGCTTTGCTATATTGCCCAGGCTGGCCTCAAACTCCTCAGCTTGATCCTCCTGTCTCAACTTCTTCAGTAGCTGAGCTGCAGGTGTGCACCATCATGCCCAACTCCTGGTCCCAATCATTAGTCTGTACTTTAATAAAGACTTTTGCTCTAAAGGCAAAGGATCATAATGAACATTGAACTGTCTCTCCGGTATACTCTTCTAAAAACTGAAAAGTTCAACCAGAGACTGAAGATCTTTCATTTATATCTAATGTCAAAGGTAGCCAAAGTGCTTTATTACTTTGCTTCTACACAGGGATTGCAGACAAAAACCTATAGATTACTGTTCGTAGTCTTTGTGTTTCTAGGTCTTTTTTTTTTTTTTTTTTTTTTTTGTCTGTATGGCAGATAGATGGCGGTCACCCCAAGAACATTCTGTTCTGTATCTCTTCTGTTCAAGAAATTACCTATTACTGATTAGTTCAGTCAGTCAGTTGCCCAATATTTGTGTATCTACGATGCCCCAGGCATCGTTCCACTGTAGCTCTGCAGGGAGCTCCTAGCAAAGGGCCTGGGAAGATGGTGCAAATGTGGGCCAGAGTGGTCCTGCTACATGTTTTTATTTGGGCAATGAAACAAAAATGTTTTTTTACCTCTTTAAATGGTTGGGCAAAAAGTGAAAAGACAAACTTGGTGACAGGTGAACATGGTACAAAGCTCAGTTTCAGGGTCAAGTATGGGAACACAGCCATGCCTACTTGGAGCTACCGTGTGCTGCCTTCCAGTGACGGTAACAGTGGACACAGCAAGTACATGGTTCTCGAAGCCCTCTGCTGACTTTTTTCCTTTGTGGTACTGGGGATTGAACCCAGGCTTTGGCCTGCGCTGTATCCAGTCCCTTTTTGTTTCTGAGTTTGAGACAGGATCTCACTAAGTTGCTAAATTTCCCAGGCTGTGCTTGAGCTTGTAGCCTTCCTGCCCCAGCCTCCTACAGTGCTGTTATGACAGCTGTGTACCACCAAGCCTGCACCCACTTTTGGTTTGGGGTTTACCGTATCCCTCCTTTAAATCTCCTAATGCTTGATTATGTGGCAGGTGCCACCAAATCTCCATCCATGTAGATGCAGGTGTTACAGAAAGCATCTCAGTAAAACCATATTTTCTTCCATTTTTGGTATTTAATGAACCAGTTTTGCCTCAAGATTTACTTTTCTTATAGAATCTTAATGAGGGCTGTAAGAAGTTGACCGTGTTAACATCCTGATGTATTTCAATGATTTCTCCTCATATTTCCACCTCCACAAGTTCATGGTTGCTGTGAAAAAGGTGATAGTTTAAGCTAAATTCAACTATGGCCCATGGTCTAAATTCAGCCCATCACCTGATTTTGTAAATAGAGTTTTACTGGACATACCCTCGATTAGCCATTTGCATAGTATTCACAGTTTCAAGAGAGGGGAGAGGGAACTACGGAACCGGAAATTGAACTCAGGCCCTTCCGCTTGCCAGGGAAGTATTTATTCTTCTGAGCCATCTCTCCGGCCCAAAGTGCAGAGATTGTAAAACCTGAAGCATTCGGGACGGCTGATGTGCAGGTAAGACTACCGTCCCCTAGTGGTGGAGTGTGGCAATTCAACAAAAACACCCGTTCACATCCAACAGCTACTACATGCTGGTGAAAACTAATGGGAATCAAGTCTTTAATGAGTTAAATCTGTTTCTACCAGACCCCAACTATGTACTGATTTTTAGTGATCTCAACTGACTCATTTTTCGATGTGATTTTTGTACCCTTGTTGGCGTTAAGAGTGTTACTCTCTCAAGTTAGATATCCGGCTTGCAATTGGGTGTTGACATAGAATTTCCTGAATCACTTCAGCACTCCTTGTCTGTAGATCTCATATCTCTGGGAGAGGTGTCTTAGGGTCATTCTCAACTGGAAAATATTAAAAAATAAAACAAAAAAAATGACACATGGACTGAACACGTAAGGGCATTTTTTTCCCCTTGTCACTTTTTCCTAAAGAACACAGCAGGGGCTGGTGAGATGGCTCAGTGGTCTAAAGCACCTACTTAGAACAAGCTAAGCTGAACAAAGCACAGGGACCGCGGTTCAATCCCCCAGCACCACATGCCAGCCAGCCCCGCCCCCTGGTAGGCTGAGCTGGCCACACACACACACACACACACACACACACATAAATAAATAAATAATTTTTTTTTTAAAAAAAGAACACAGCAAAGGGCCGGCCAAATAGCCGGATTAAAGTGGCTGCAAGCAGGTGCAGGGGTGGGGGAGGGGGGAACGGGGGTCTGTCCCCCAGCCTAACGTGCTGACCCCGCCCTGGTAGCATGCTGAGACGGCAATTGAGACTGGGCGTGGTGGTGCACGCCTGTAATCCCAGCTCTTGGGAGGCTGTAAACAGGCATATCACTACGAGTCCGATCTAGTAGTGAGACCCTGAACACTCTTCAGGGTCTCACTTCTTTAGGGAAGTAGTAGACCCTTCCCTAAAATACAAAAATAAGAACATAGCATAACAACTATTGGCACAGAACTGACACAGTAATAGGTGTTATTAGCAGCCTAGAGGTGAACTAAAGTATCAGGGTGGGTGTAGGCTACCTGCCAATTCCATGGCACTTTATATGAGGGACTTGAGCATCCTGGGGTTTGGGTGGGCACGGGGCAGCCTGGAGCCAGGGTCCTTCAGACACCAGTGGATGATCGTACTTGGAAAAAGACTGCTTCTCAGAGTGCAATACATTTTGAAGTCATTTTAAGTAGACATGGCATGAAGAGTATCTGGGAATGCTATCTTTCAAGAATTTCCCTGGTTAGAGCTGCATACTTGACCTTGTAGGACAGAGCATCTCAGTCTCAGCACCACTGACATGAGACTGGCAATGTGGTATGTGGACTGCTAGGGCATGGTGGCTGGGCCACAGGGTCCCTGGCCTCCACCCACTAGAAGGCAACAGCACAAAGTGTGATCAGTGTGTGCAGAGCCAGCGAGATAGCTCAGTGGACTAAGCACCTGCTTTGGCAAGCACAAAGACCAGGGTTCCATCCCAGGTCCCGCATGCCACACCAGCCCCACCCTTGAGGAGCGCTGCACCAGCAAATGAGTCCAAGTGTGGTGGTGCATGCCTGTAATCCCAGCGCTGGGGGAGCTGAAAACAGGAGGATCACTAGAGTCTGAGCTGTGTAGTGAGACCTTGTACCAAATACATAAATGAAAAAAAAAAAAAAAAAAACAGTGAATACAGTGAATGCTTAAATTTAAAAAAAAAAATTAAAGTAAAAGATGAAGTGCTATTAATTCTCCTTAAAATACTTTCACTTGATTCAAACACATTTATCCCACCATTCTTACTACTTTCTGAAGCAATTCTAGAAGTCCTATTTTAAATTTTTGAAAGGAGAATAAAATATAGTAAAAGAAAAAAACATTAGAAATGATACAGGGGAGACCCAGTCCTAGCCCAGGTCCGGTGAGTGTGTGGAGAGCTTCCTGCTACCCTGCGCCGGCAGGACCAGTCCCAGCCCAGGCGCAGCG